AGTAAAATCAAGGACCGTGATGCCTCCTGGTATGGTGCAACCGGGGCCCCACCCTGGAGCCAGGCCCGGGGTTGGGGCTCAAATGTGAGCGCCTGGTGGCGCCGGGCTTACCCCGATGAGCGATGTGGGGACGTCCTCCCGTGGGCCCACCACCTACAGGAGGATCAGTAAGGGGCTGGTGCATAGTGGAGCAGAGCTGTAAGGTGAAGCGCTCGATTTACTGGTCAACCTACATTACTACTCTCACCTATGGTCATGAGCTTTGGGTCATGACTGAAAGGGTAAGATCCTGGATACAGGTGGCTGAAATGAGCTTTCTCTGCAGGGTGGCTGGGTGCACCCTTAGAGATAGGGTGAAGAGCTCGGTCACTCGGGAGGAGCTCAGAGTAGAACCGCTGCTCCTCCACAACGAGAGGAGCCAGCTGAGGTGGCTTGGGCATCTGTTTCGGATGCCTCCTGGGCGCCTTCCCGGGGAGGTGTTCCGAGCATGTCCCACCAGGAGGAGACCCCGGGGAACACCGAAGAACACGCTGGAGAGACTATGTCTCTCAGCTGGCCTGGGAACGCCTCGGCATCCCCCCAGAGGAGCTGGAGGAAGTGTCTGGAAAGAGGGAAGTCTGGGCATCTTTGCTTAGACTGCTGCCCCCATGACCCGGGCTTGGATAAGCGGAAGAAGATGGATGGAATGGATGGATGGCAATCATAGAGATGCTATACCGGCCATAAAACAAGGTTGATTATGCTTGTCTTTGCTCTATTGCCCCCTGCCAAAAAGAAAAAACAATTCATTTGTTGGACCATGTGTCTTTTTGCTTTATAACCAAAAATTTCTTCATGTGCCATTTAAGTAGACTGCATATGCAGAGACACAAAGAAGGTGGTGGTCAAACATAAAAATAAGGAGTGTGCAAGCAAATACTTTGGTAGAGAGGAAAGTCATTTTATGGCTGCTATTATGTTTACCTCAAAGGGCATGCTTCAGACTTTCAGTGGAAATGAACAAAGGGAATGTGAATGATGAAGAATATTGTTTTTTCTTAAAAATCATCTACAATTGTTAGGGTTATTCTATCATAAACAAACTGACTGAATAGGCCGAGGCCGATTGTCTTTATATAAGGATTTTAATACTCCCAGCATGGGAGCATTCAATACATACAGTTCAGTTGCATGAAAACAATGCTCAGAATCAGAATCAGATTAATTTTATTGGCCAGGTGTGTCAGAGAAAAGAATTGTGTCAGTGCCTGGAGAATTTCAGAGTGTAGCCGGTTTGAATCAGCTTCTCCATCCAATTGTTGGACAGCAGCTCTTGCCACACTGAGTAATGTTCTGTCAGTGGACGAGCATTCATTTGTGGTGCATACATTACTACTAGCCACTGATGTGCCCTCTCCACCATTGCAAGAGAGGAATGTTTGTCTGGGAGGGCTGTGATGAAAGGGCTGAGGAGAGGCATGCACCCAGTGCTTAGCTTCGTCACTCACCTCTTGTGTGGGAGAAAAACTGCCACTAATATGCACAAACTGGTGGGGAGTGGGGAGGCCACAAAGGGACGAAGGCAGCGCTGCTGAGACGTCTTGCCGTGGGGAGAACTGTATTAGGAAAAACAACAGGGCTTTGCTGTGGAGAAAAATTAATGTTAGGTGCATCCCATGGCACAGTGTGTGCGAGGGGAGAGCTATGCAGTGGGGAAACATGTGTGAACACCCAGGGAGAGAGGAGAAACAACTATCAGAAAATGGCTCTTTATGAATCTGGTGGCAACCCTGAAAAGGACCGTTGTGTTCAGCAGCAGAGTCACACACGTTCCACGTGTCCCGTCATTGCCACCATTGTTTGCAGGGGGCTCTGCAGGAGGATTTGTCCAGGAGCAGGCTGCTCGTCTCCTGGTTCATGCATACTATGGAGTGGCCTGCCCGAAGTATGCGGCAGGAGGAGGAGCGAAGGCTGGGAGTGAGGTGCGCCACGGCGCAGCAACTACAGCAGCAACTGCAGCAGCAACAGCAACACCAACTGCTGGATGCCTGGCTCTGTGACGCTGTCCACCATGACTACACCAGTCTGATCGGGAGGACCGGGGTGGCTGCCATCCCCACAGTGCTATCCGTCAAATCCAATCTACTTCATCAATTGCTTGCTGCAGATGAGTGATGGCTTCCTGGAGGTGTGGACCGAAGAGACCTTTGGGCACAGTGTGTGCGAGGGGAGAGCTATGCAGTGGGGAAACATGTGTGAACACCCAGGGAGAGAGGAGAAACAACTATCAGAAAATGGCTCTTTATGAATCTGGTGGCAACCCTGAAAAGGACCGTTGTGTTCAGCAGCAGAGTCACACACGTTCCACGTGTCCCGTCATTGCCACCATTGTTTGCAGGGGGCTCTGCAGGAGGATTTGTCCAGGAGCAGGCTGCTCGTCTCCTGGTTCATGCATACTATGGAGTGGCCTGCCCGAAGTATGCGGCAGGAGGAGGAGCGAAGGCTGGGAGTGAGGTGCGCCACGGCGCAGCAACTACAGCAGCAACTGCAGCAGCAACAGCAACACCAACTGCTGGATGCCTGGCTCTGTGACGCTGTCCACCATGACTACACCAGTCTGATCGGGAGGACCGGGGTGGCTGCCATCCCCACAGTGCTATCCGTCAAATCCAATCTACTTCATCAATTGCTTGCTGCAGATGAGTGATGGCTTCCTGGAGGTGTGGACCGAAGAGACCTTTGGGGCTGATGGGACCTTCCAGCAGACTCTTCCTGATCTGCTCCAGCATCTGGGACATGCAGCCATATATTGCACTTGGTCACTGTGGCCCATGCCTTGATGTGAGCCGTAGCCACAGCTGCAGCAGAAGACAACGTGGCAGCCATGGCCTTGCCAATCTCCTTCCCTGCGTTCACGGGGAGAGCCCCAGGCTGGGCAGTGGGGGAGGAAACATATGCGGAGAGGACAGCAAAATTGCTGATTGCCACCCTGGCCTGGGCATTGGTGAATGCGGTCTGTGAGGTGGATGGTGACCTGGTCACAAGGGAGCGGTGGAGTTGGCCGTCTTCTGCCAAAGAACACCGCCTTGGGGAGCAGGATGGAGGAAATGCTTGTTTCCAGGGGTGGGATGGCAAGGAAGCTCGACTCTGGTGAGTGACTCAAGGTGGGCAACCAGAGCCCGTAGGTTCACAGGTTGCTCAGCTGCCTCAGAAAAGAAGGGCCCCATGGTGGGAAACTCAGGTCAGACACGGGGATGCTTGCTCCACTGGTCTGACTTGTAGAAATCCCCTGTCATATTTGATGGGAGAACCAGGGGAGCTGCTATCTCCTGTCCAACAAGACAGGTCTGGGTTTGAACCTGTCCACCAACTGGGGCCTTTCTGTGTAGAGTTTTCATCATGACCCCTTGCTTGCGTGGAGTTTCTCTGGATTCTCTGGCTCAATAAGATGTCCACATCAGTGAGGACCTCACTTGGACACTCAACACCACACAGATGGTCAAGCAGGCCCAACGGCAGCTGTACTTCCTGATGAGGCTGAAGAGGTTTGGCATGTTGCCTATGATCCTCATCAACTTCTACAGCTGCATCGTCTAGAGCATCTTGACCAGTAGCATCACTGTCTGGTATGGCCGCACTACTGCTATGGACCGCAAGCGCCTGCAGAGAAGATCACCAGGACTCCACTGCCCTCTCTACAGAGCATTTACCACTGCAGGGTGTGTAGGAAAGCTGCCTCCATCCTCAAAGACCCCACCCACCCCCAGCACGGACTGTTCACGTCCCTACCCTCTGGCCGGAGGTTCAGAAGTGTGAAATGCAGGACCTCTAGATGGAAAATCTTTCTTTCCCTCTGCAACTATACTGACATCTGCAATGGCAGATGAGCTTTGGAACCAACAACAACCAGCATGACCAATGGTGGATATGAGGCAAGTGATTTGC